CTGTTTGAGCATACGTTAGCACTGCGTCCTCAGCAGAGAAACTGAGTAGTGGCATGCGAACTCCCGACATGCTCCTAATGTATAACTAAAAACAGTCTAGTCTTTCGACGGTGTTGTTTTTTGAAGGTAGACTCTCCCGTTTAGCAAGCCATAATCTTGCAAGGGCTAGTCATCAGATGGTTGACACGCTATGGACAAGGACATGCCACGCAAAAGCTGATGAGTTTGTGTGACTTTTGGGATAGATCGGCAATTGGTGTTATAACGAGAAAGGGCCGGTAACCTAAGCAACTTTGCTAGGCATCCGACGTGGAGCCAGTCGCAAAGCTAGTCGCGCCTAGATACGAGCAAGAGGAAGTGCAAGGCAGCTAGCCACTTGTTTAATCAACCGGGGACTTCCACGGTGAAAGCGGTGTTGATGGGCAGCAGGCAGAGTAAGGTAAGGTAATCATGAATAAATTTGATTTCCCGTGTAAGGATTACACCCAGGTGGGATTTCGGAAGTGTAAAGTGGGTGAGTGGCTCTGGTTTGGATTTGTTGTAGCTCCTAGGCGGGGATCTAGAACATCGAGGGGGGAGAAAGACAAGGGGGGGGCCGCGCGATGGGGAATAGTCGTGCGTATCATACAAATGCGTATGCACAAATGGAATTCAGCATGACGAAAGGATGGGCAAACTAGGGGTCTAGAAGTGATTGGCATGGCAAATGATGGGACATCCGAGGCGAATTTGGGCATTGCCATGTAGCTTTCCATGTAGCTTTCCATGTAGCTATATTCTTCCGAACCTCAAGTTCGGGAACATACGACCAGCTGACTTGGACTAGATCGACCGTCGATCTCCCCAAGAAACTGTCTTGAATTACCAACAAGGCTATGAAAGTAAGCGTCACGTACCTAGCGAGGTCCTGGAATGCCTAAAATCCGATAGATTTTGTTAGACCAGGAATTGCCTGATGCTTAGCGATGTTCTTGATGAGTGTCGCCGACTTACCTTAACCATCTCGGCTTGAGTCGAAGCAGTTGAGGCGGATGTATTCGCCGAACTTCCGTTAGACTCTTGGGCTTTGGATGTGGAGGTATCCTTAGTATTGTCCGATGGGAATTTGGACATGGTGAAGCTATTCTACCAGCTTTATCTCGTAAAGTAAATAGAGCGTAGGTACTGTTAAAGCAGTGAAGATCGGATGTGATCCCCGGTTCCAAGATTCAGGGGTGGATCTTGGAGAAAGAACTGGTGATTGGTTACTCTTAGGGGAAAACGGTTGAAAGCTTTTTTCGGGTTGCCACTCGAGAATTATTTGGTCCTGCTGGGTTGGGACAGTATGTAAATGCACTGAACAAAGTGACAGAAGAGGTGGGGATGTTGAGTGAATGTTGAATAAAGATTGGATAGACGACGGGTCGATCCGAAAGATTTCTTGATAGGTGGACGAACTATCAGCCTCCCCACGTGAGAATAATCTAGGCTTAAATGCTTGATGCTTGAATGTCAGGATGTATGGATGTCAACTATACCTACTAAAATATGTAGGTAGTATACATTAGGTATGTATGAAAAGAAGATGCATGCGACTTCGGGTATAACTAATATGTAAATAAGGTACTGTATAATAAATAATGCAAATATGGTCTTATTTCACAAAAGATCGACAATCAAAACGCTGGCCTCAAATGCAGATCTTCTCTCCAGCTGGAAAATAACCCCGACGTCAAAACGAATATTGTCAAGATTGTCTTTCCTTTTCTGTGGTCTAGATATCTGGATCTCGGCATTTTAAACCGTTGCTCAACGTTCTAGCCTACGGGCCGCTATTGGCACTGGTGATCTTTTCGGTTTACATTTTGTATGCAGTAAAATAAATAAAAAAGTATGGAATTATTCAGGGATTGAAGATGAAAAAGAAACGAGGGTCTCATGTCCACGTAGCTAAGCTACATACCTACATGTATGTACATAGCCTTGCAGGCCCACGTGTTTATGTACCTAACATACATAGGTACAAAGTACATACATACCGTAACTGTACTACTATTTTTGATTGATATTCTAGCTGCCGTTAGGTCCGTTGGATGCAGATGGCCGGTCGGAGGATTCAAGCTTGAGGTACGTCAGTCAGGTCAGCTGGGAATCGGGATGAAGAAGTTAGAAAAGGTAAAAAGAATTCCATCCACTTCGATGGGAAAAGATGGGAAATGGTAACACTGCCGAGTACGAGAATACCTCTTAGTCCCACGCAGTTGCCACGCAGTTGCCCACAGCATTATGCGGCAAAAGAGAATACTAATATTATAGTTACTGTAGCTAGTATTATATACCCTTGAAGGTACCTCATACATATAGCCTTATTGCATAATACTAATTTGTACTAAGAATCAGGTGATTCCCCATATTTGCTTTAGGTAGGATCAAATAATAACCGTAGCTTATTGGTGGAGGGATTTCCTACAACTTTATGCAACAGGTACAACTCGCATCGTTCGCCAACCCATCACAAACCACCAAATGCAACTACCAACAGTAGGCAAAGTACAGTACTATCTTAACTGTGGAAAACCTCTAAATCTCGATCTTGTCCCACAATGACGACCGCCATGATATCTTATCATGGGCATTCTCCTTTAATGTTAAATTCTTTATGCTTGGAATCGAATATCGAACCTAGCCTTTAGTAGCCGATGTTACCTCACGACCTTTAATATACCCTACCATCTTGATCATCGCTTTGAATACCACAATGCCGGGACCAAGACGACCTTTTTCCTACGTATGTAGGTATTTAGCTCCTCCAGTGGGGTGCGAGAGGGGGGCAGGGCAATGCAATCGCCGATACCTAGCATTAAAAGTGATTAATTGATTGCAGTAATAGGAAAAAAAAAACCAAAAAAACCGACTGATGAACTCTAGGATTCTGGGGTTCGTTAGTTCAAGAGGCGCCAAGACTTTCGATCCCGGGCTGAAAAATCGATTGCGGCACCCTGCGCTTTTCTCATATACTTTCATCTCATTGGTAGGCTGCCGGCAGCCCTCTTGGCTCCCGTTTCTCTCTCAACACTGGCTAGTGGTCCGACACCCCGATACCTACTTCGGTTCAAGTCTAGATGAGAGAGTACCTGACAAAAAGTGTCTTCGCTGCTTCGTCAGCTTCGTCACCATCGAACCGAACCTTTAGATAACTGTAACAGAGAACAGAGGCCAGTCCCGTTTGGGAACTTTGGCGCCTTCCTTAATGGTAGGATATGACAAGATATATGAGCAGACAGACATCAGACTGTGACTCGTCAAAGGAGAGATCAAGCGGCTCTCATGGCGCTACATCGACACGACGTCAAAAGATACGTCGCGAGGGAGGATGGCGGCGACTCGGGGACAGACACACGCATCCAGAACATCCCAGCAGGGAGACACGAGGTGAAGCAGCCCACTGATTCGTCCGAAGTTCTGGCCAGCGATCTCGATCTCCTCTTAGCTTTGTAACCTGTCGTCTTTTATTCCCTCGGCCCTCTTGTCGTGACATTCGTTGCTCCATTCCCCATGACCATCTAACGGGCTTTGGGGGGGTGTAAGGCCACCGGTCTTCTTCTCTGTTTTTTCGCACACGACGCTCTTTTTTTCGTGAAGATCGAAAAGTTCGACTCCCGAAGAGACGGGTATCCCTTTTTGAGTTGGCAAACGCACATCCACCGAGCTACTAAGCTTTTAACCCTGTTAGCCCTGTTAGCCCTGACTAGGCTGCATGAGCTCGATTCTAAACATTGCATTTCATTTATGGGTCATTGGGACAAGACAGGTTGTGATCTTCTAGGAAATAGTCACGTTCCTGAACGAGCCTGAACAGTCTAACAGTCTCGCCCAGGTCCGGGGGGGCTGTAGAGCGTGACTGCATACCTCGATATATACATATAGCCAGGTACCGTGTGTGTCGACCGGTCGACTTATTATTTATTTTCCATCAGGCCATTTTCTGAGCTTGCATGTTTCCAGGACTCTCCCGCCAGCCCGCTGGACATCAGAAAGAAAACGGACGGGTTGAAGCTAGTCCTGTAGGTGAGTTTCTATTTTTCCCCTTCAGCGGTGCACTAGCTTTTCTGGGTCCTTGGGTCTTTTTGGGTCCTTTGCCGCAGCCGTTTATTTTCTGACTCTCCCTTTTGCTGTCACACGTCAAAGTTGTTCGATTCCCATCGATTCCCCTCGATTGCGCTACTCATCGAGATCTGGAAAATGCAGAGGGATCGTATATCATCACAACAGCCCGGGATCCAGAATGCTAATCTTCCACATTTCCCCTAAACATTGCCATTGACCATTACGGGGCAAACAGACAAATCGATCATCGATCCTTTAATGCCACACAACATAAACAGCATAACCGATTATTCGCAACCCGCTACCCGCTATCCGCACCATACACGGCACATGTTCATTCTAACCTGTATCCATATCCTCTTGTCTCACACATCTCTCTCACTCTCACACACATACCCATACCATCTCTCCTCTAGCACTCTAGCAGAGCTTCTCATTAACTAGGTATCTCGGCATATTTCACTCCTCTTGTAATTCTAGACCCCACGCCCCACACATCTGGACTTTCGCATCGAACCCACGACGCGTCCCCATCTTTACGTAGCTTCGACAGCCTCTAACTGCTTGCTGCTTGCCTATTGCGGCCTACCCCTGGAAGAATAAGCAATCTCGACGCTGTCCCAGTGGGGTGGTTATTAGACCAGTTATCTCGGTGAGGAAGTACAACTCACTTTGTGAAATATTGTGGTGCCGTGGAAGAGGTTAAGCCATCTTCAAAAATACTTTCAACCGTTAGCCAAAAAAAACCAAAAAAAAACCGCCGAACTCTTCCGAAGTCTGCTCGACGAACCATAATAGGACCTCCCTGCGAGCTGTATCCGTCGTAATCGTTACATACCGGGTAATCGGGAAGTCCGATGTTGAATTGAAGCTTTCAGCGTTTGATCCGCAGAGACGCGGCCAAAATCAGCTATATGAATTCCCTCGAAGTGATTTTCGGCGAGCTAGGCATTACTCAGTATCTCGATGCCTTCATCGACCAAGGCTTCGATTCTTGGGATACTATTCTCGATATCACCGAGTCTGACCTGTAAGTCCCGTGGCTCTGACCTGTTTTGGTCAACCGCTGACGATGATTGCATTCAGAGACGCACTTGGCGTTAAGCTCGGCCATCGAAGAGTAAGGCGCCCACTTAGATAAATATCCTACCAGATACGGTATACTAACCACTCTAAAGAAACTCCAGCGTCGTATAGCGAATTATCGTGGTGTTGCGCCAGAAACATCCTTGGTATCGCCTACATGCACGAGCATCGAAGATGCCAGGGTCGAGTCGAACCGAACCGAATCGATCAAGTCCGAAAAATCAGACGGGACAACCGTCGCGAAGCGCAAATACAGACGACATCCCAAGGTTCGTGATATTCTTTTATCATTCGATACTTTGTTTCTGCGGTCGGGCGACTGCAATATTTATTTAGTTTCGTATTGGTATGCGACGCGGGTCTGACATTGTAATAGCCAGATGAAAATGCACCAGAGCGCCCCCCATCGGCGTATGTATTATTTTCGAATAGTAAGTTTTATTTTTATTGGTGCCCGCCATTGGAACCATGTGCTGACAAACTACAGAAATGCGAGAAGATCTGAAGGGCCAAAACTTGACCTTCACGGAGATCGCTAAATTAGTCGGTGAGAATTGGCAAAATCTGAACCGCGACGAAAAAGAGCCGTTTGAAAGACAGGCACATGAGGCCAAGGAGAGATACAACCGTGAGCTGGCAGAGTATAAAAAAACAACTGAGTATAGAAAATATTACGACTACTTACATGAATTCCGTAAAAGACAAGCGACCCAATTACAAGGTAATTTCAACACATTCAATGATATCATTTGAGAAAATTGTGCTAATAAATTGAAAAGAAAAGGATGTTTCCAAACGTCTGAAGCTAGATTCTGATAGTATTCGTGGTAGTAGTACCAGCGGTGGTTCAGCCGGGGCAAGTGGTACGACCAGCGGAACAGTCAGTGGTTCCGATAGCCAACCCGGCAGCGAGCCTCCTCCTACACGCCAACAAAGGCTAGGATCGTCAACATCGACTATCGATAGTAGTTTCTCTCCTGGCCTGAATAACATACACCACGGAGACGAGTTACATTCTCCTAGGACACTCTCGTTTGATGAACCGAATAGCGGGCGGTCGCGTGGATTATCGAGCCCCACTTCCCGTGACCACTCTTCTCACCATTCAAGCCGTCGATCCGCATGGGGCGACGGCCAACGGATTTATGGAGAATCATCCGGTGCGCCGGTTTCTTGGTTCGATCCGAGAGGTATCCAAGGAACCTTGGTGCACTCCCCCGATAGTGTTTTGCCCGGCTCCTCGAGTCATGGTCTAAACAATATATCCGGCCGTATTTCGAGATCCTCTGGATCCGGATCAAGTTCGATGTCGCGACCGCCATCTTTGAAAACCGAGCAGTCCTCAACAGGTAGTATAAGCTCGCTTAGTTCCTACAATATCCCGAGAACACCTAGCGATGCATCACTGCCAATACATGCTCTATTATCATCCAAGCCAGAGCCGGCCTATCCTTCGTGTCCACCTCCACCGGCCCCACAATCACAGCTACCAATAATTCAATCACAAGCTGGTCGTCCAACAGGCGATCAATCAAGCAGTAATGGTATCGAGGCTCATGATAAAGGTACGTTGATGGATCTTGGAAAGTTTAACTTGATAACTGACACTATCTAGGATATCCAGGCCATTCTCTTCCAAAGTATTCAACAATGGGCTTTCAGAAAGATACTGTTTTTGGTATGCCGGTCGAACCAAAGTTGACTGCTACCTCGAAGTTGGGTAGCTTGAGTGAGAATAGTCTTGACGGTATTAGTGCCTTACTCAAGGCACGAGAGATCGTCGATAGACGGTAAAAAAGGGGGGAAAAGCGGGCGCGATCGGTTGCCCTATCTTATTTTCCCTCGTGTAGACATCTGCACTAATCATATTTGCATACTAAGGATTGACGGAGTATGGTATTTACGATATTTGGACATTTATGACTGGAATTACTTGGATGGAAACGAGCGTTCGGAAATTGCAATACGACATGATACTTAATGGCGACCGTCAACAGTCGCTACTCGGATTCTCCAGGATTTGCCATTTTCCCCTCTTTATATCTCTAGAGGTCCCAACGAGCGGCAACTGCGAGACTGCAAAGTTAATTAGCTGAATACCCATTTTCTATCCCTGTGAAAATCTCGAGGCAGCTGGTTTCGAAAGGAAGATTTCTACGTTTTATATGAGTTACATGATAAGGTGTGACTAGTACTTATTACCGTCGCTATAAGACTTTACATATAGGAGTTTCTTTTCCTTGTCCTTTAGGGAACAGCTATCAGGTGGCACTCTTACGAAAGAGAAATGACAAAAATTCCGGCGTTGAGGTGTCTCGGTTTTGTTTCATCCTATACCTTATTATATTTATATTTCTCGCCGCGAGCGAAATGTTCAATGGTCGATGGATAAACTGAGATTTGGGAAGCTGCTATCGGTTGCTTTGTGTACGTTCTACGGTTGTCTTCATATAACTACTTCGCTTAGTCGATCAGAGCTGGAGGATAGCCGTAATCCTTTCGTTGTGGGGATACACAGCAAGGGAATAAGAACGAGATATACTGTTCATCAAAACGTTTTTAATATGATTAGTGATGGTGGTGTAATAATAACGTAGTATGTCCTAAAGTGCTAGTAAGACATAATAGTATAAAGGTGTTGGCCAATCAGATTTAGAGGAGCAGCGTACCGTGCCTGGTCACTTGAGGACATACTCAGCGTATGATACAACGAATATACCAAATCGCACAGTTTAATATAGAGTAGGTATTTTTTACCTGATTCGAATACCCTAATATGAAGAGAGTATTCGTCAAAACTCTTATACTCTTACTGTATTAAAACGATTGGCAGGGTTATAATTAGTATTATACGAATTATTTGTACACTTGAATACGAATAATTCAAAAGGCACAGAAGCTATCCAGAATCGAACGACGAAAGTACTTGCATTAGGTAGATACGTACCTAGGTAGCTACGCTCTATGCAGACGTGCAGAATATGTATACTACTCATTCATCATCTCGTACGTAACTCAGTAATAAAGTAAGTGGTGCACCGACCACGAGCCGCTTTGCCGTCATGACTGCCTCCGTGCCAATTCCATCACAAAACGATCGCTTGCCTGCTTTACTCATTGACATGTCCGTTCCGCCCTACAGCCTGTCCGAATCGTCACATCGTGTACGTACGTTAGGCAGGTAAATATTTATTTTTTCTTTCCTTTCTTCCTATTCCAAAAGTTCGAGAGCGAATGCATATACAACACGCACTTATCAGGCCTCGCCAGTCACTTCTGCGGACCAATCCCTCTTGATCTCGAGCTCTAGAAGCTCGGGTGTGTTTTCGATGACGAGTCCCTTTTCGTTGGCTAGATGCAGAAGGCAGATGAAGCAGAAACTGGTTGAGATGTCGTCCATGACCGACCTGGGATATACAGACTGTAGGTCGTTCATGACGTCTGTAAACTTGAGTGTTTCTCCCTCTCCCTTTTTGATCCTCTCGGGATCCTTTGCCGGAGTAGGAAGTCCGGTGTTGTTACTTTCCTGTAGTAGTGGGTTAGATTAGTCCGAAATATCAGTCTACGACGACTTGGGTTAAGGGAGTGAATTTCATTCTGATGACTTACCTCCTCTACGTCCGGCAATCCCAAGCCCTTCCAAAGCTCCTCCTTCAACCGGCGTACGTCTACCTTCTTTGCTACGCGAGCATATTGCACGTATTCCGGCCTTAACCGCCGCGTGGATGTGACTAACTGCGTTCCGAACCCGCCGGTCGTCATGCCGTTATCGAGCATACCGGTAATGCCGATGTCCTGTGTAGCGGGGATGTCGGCACCTGGCGAGAAGTGATCTCTGGCATCGGCGAACTCGTCGTCATCATCGTCCAGCATGCCACCACCGGGTAGCGGCATCTCGTCATCGAAGAAGTTGGCGTCGTAGTCACCCGTAGGAAGGACGGTATCCTGGTCGGCATTCTGCATCGGTTCCCTTTGCGCCCAGAAGGCTTCGTCCATATCACCTGGGATGACGTTCTTATCTTGCTGGTTGTTGTTTCCGAACAAGGCCGTCTTGTTGCCAAAGCGGTTACGACGACTCAAGCGAGCCTTGGGTTTGAGGAATAAATTAAGAAGCTGTGTTGAGTTGAAGTGCTTGTCGTCGGGGAGTAGATTCCGAGTCTTCGACTTCCAGTCCTTCTTGGGTAATGAGATGGCAGAGTTACTTGTCGCCTGGGTAAAGATGGTTTCGGCCAGTTTCTGATCCAAGGGGGACGCAAAGTCTATCTCGAAAGGTTCCTTCTCTTTTCGCTGGCGGGTGCTCGTCTCTGGCTTATTTGCGTCCTTGATCTTCCGTATCCTCCAGTGCTCCGGGCCGGCCCAATTCTTCTGGAGAGCTTGGTCAAAGTAACTTAGGATATCTTCGTGCATCTTATCGGCGCTCTTAGCATGATTCATGGACACGACGTAGTCACCATTCTCCTCGTCGATACCGTCGACACCATCTCCACCGTCACCCCCAACCATTCCGTCGTCGGTTCCAACTTTGTAAGGTCGCATCTGGGGTTCCAGCGCAGCTTCTCGTGCCCAGGCTTCACCACCCTCGCCAAATGCGACATCGAACCCACCCATGGCTGTCATATCGTCAAAGCCGGCGAGATTATCATCATCAATAAACATCCCAGACTTGTTGCCGACACCGCCACTTCCGCTTTCATCCTCATCTTCATCTTCAAGAGCGCGTAGGAATGGGATGTCCAGAGAACCTGATGGGTTACCAAGCTCAAAAGTTTTTAGTGATGGGCATATATCTTGCTCATCTAATCTAGTTAGGTCGGGGAAGAACTTGGCGGCGAGGGCGCCAATATCGATTTCTACATCTTCCTCTTCTTGAGCCGCTTGCTGTTCTGTGATAGTAGCTTCCTGCTCTTCTTCCGCTTCCTCGTCCTCATCCTCGGCGTTGACATCTTCTCTCCTTCGAGGTTTAATACCGTCTGCAGAAGCGTCATTGGCGTCGTCGCTACTGTCGAATACGATACGACCCTTGCCGTCGATCATGAGATGGTTCAATAGGAGACCTTTAGCACCACCTTCGTCAAAATCCGCTGAAGCTTTCTTGAATAATGGATCCACCGCGAATTCCAATTCGAATTTCTTTAGCTGCAATGAAGCGAAGGATGGCGCAAGCGTCGCTTCAGAAGACCGTTGCTATAAAAGCATTAGAACATTTTCGTGTTGCATTCTGAAATGTGAAGCTTACCCGCTTCTTTGACTTCTTCTTGACTACATTGCCGTTCTCGTCTACTTCTTCTTCGCTCTCTTCACCGTCACCATCACCTTCTCTATCCTTTTTCTTGGAATTGCTATCGGCTAAACCGCTTAGTAACTTGCCCGTCTCTGTGGCTACGCTGTCGACTCTGCTGGTATAAATCTTGACGCAACCATCTAAGGTGCAACTTGCTCTCTGAAAGTTAACACCGTCTCCGTCTTTCAGCAGGGACATATCATGGAAATAATCGATAAGAGCAAAATTCCAAGAGTTTGTGGCGTTGATTTTGTTATCGGTGGCCATCTTCATCCATTCTTCGAAGTTGGCCAGAATGGGCACACGCTTCATGGGCGTTACACCAGTATTGGTACCGGCTACATAGACATCGTCGTCGTCATCCATAACGCGTCGTGGCGTATGGGGGTTTGAGCGGGGAGAGCCATTTTCACCGTCAGCCAGTCTGTGACCGACTTTCTTCGCAGGCGTAGCCGCAGCCGCCTGCAGTTCGTTAATCTGTTTTTCGTAGAGGGCTCTTCGCGAGTGTAGTCGTCCCCTCTTCTCTTGGACGTCGTCGTTAAGAGGGATTCTAAAATTAGGCCGTGAGATTTTGGTTGCTAGGGGAGTCATGACAGCTGAGCAACCAGCATAAACAACTAAGTCGACTTACTTTAAAGGGGATTTGAATGGAGAACCGGAAGAACCAGTTGTCGTTCTGCTGCCTGCGCTGGCGCGAGGGACATGAGCTACTCGAGGCATATTTGATTGTTGTTTTTGTATTACATGTAAAGTTGAGGGGCTACATGCGAATTGTTTGGTCGGGGTTGAAATGCAGGTCGCACGCACAAGTCTCTTTCGCGTTTTCCGAGTTGACCGGTAACTTTTGGATTTAACTTTGCGCAACATTCAAGTAAACAAATCGGACATCGGAAATGGGAAATGCGCTAACCTCTTTGGCTGGGCAGCTGTTGAGACCTCATTGGGCTGGATCAGCTTAGGTAAGGTTGGGCTACTGATAGGTATCCTAAGGTAAGGTTCCAAGGTTCCTTCCATCCCGCATCGTAAATCCGCGCCACATTATTGGTGGTTAGTGTAACACGCGGCGTGTGGCTAATTTATCCATTAAGCAGCTAGAAAAGGTAGGTACCTGGAAAGAACAAAAAAAGAAAGGTCCCGACTGTCTTGGCGACTACGTAGACGATACCTAACTTGGACTTTCCTCCAATGCAATAGAACTAATTCAAATAAGATGGTACATATTCGAACCGTTGAAACCTTCCAAATTGACATTTTTTTCTTAGGATATCTACCGACTTACCCCATGTTCACTTACCATTCAACTTTACATACTTGACGTCAGTGTAACGTATTCCGTTTGAGGCAACCAACGCTACTCTCCTTGAACCCGGTGGTTTGGGATCGGTAGTGATGCATTAGTCAAGTTACAAGTCATCATCAGGCCTATTTTCGACGTCCACGTCAATAAGAACATATCCGACGTACCACTAGAGTATCTATCGCGTATCTATCGCGTAATTCATTGGCCTTCTATCTTAAGTAAAAGGAAATATTCACCACATTTAATCATTACTTCGTACCTCGATACCATTCGATACTCGACTGTCGCTCCTACAATAATTCCTATAATTCCTTTTTTTTTTTAACTCCCCTCCATTCCATCTTAAGTCCTACATTTTCTCTCATCAAAATTGACTTGCAACAAATTATTCTCCTATCAAGTTCGCCAATTACCTACCAATTCGTTTCTGATAAGCATATATGCGCCCTTCCGGCGATGGCAGTTCGACACAGCCAACACCAACAGGGGTAACTTAAACATGTACACCGCTGTGCGTGGGAGGAGGGGATTCACTTCCCGCCCATTTTATACCACTCTGTTTATCCTCACTCTCATCGTTACATGTAGCCTGTTTATCCGAGGACCAGCAGTATCGTTAGAGCAGCGGCCAAGTTTATCCCCGCGATCTGGCGAAGATTGTCGCCTAGTGCACTACGCCGAAGATAAGTGTGCCTTTGTAAGGCGCAATTGTCACGATGACGAAGCAGGTCTCATAGAATATTTGACATTTTATTATTGCGACCTTGAACGCGCACAGCCCCTTGCTTTTATCGTATTGGCCCTTTGGCTAGGCCTGTTGTTCACCACTATCGGGATAGCTGCGAGTGACTTCTTCAGCGTTAATCTCAGCACTATTGCCACCATCCTTGGCCTAAGTGAAAGTCTTGCCGGTGTCACTTTCTTGGCATTTGGAAATGGGTCTCCAGATGTGTTTAGCACCTTCGCCGCCATGAGCTCCAACAGCGGCAGCATGGCCGTCGGAGAGCTAATCGGTGCCGCAGGCTTTATTACATCCGTCGTGGCCGGCTCTATGGCATTAGTCCGCGAGTTCAAGGTCAGCAGAAAAACATTCGTGCGAGATATATGTTTTTTTATAGCAGCTGTCGGCTTTGCCATGGGATTCTTAGCCGATGGGAACCTTCATCTATGGGAATGTAGTGTCATGATTGCTTTCTACATCTTCTACGTCATCGTCGTGGTTGGCTGGCACGCAGTTTCCAAAAGGAGACGAGCACGACGAGTTAAGGAGGCTCTATCTCGCAGTCACTACTACGCACCGGCAAGCGAACGTAGCAATGACGAGTTAGAACCTTATAGGGACGATCCAGACGATGAAGACGCACGGCCCATAGAACGTCGTTCCTCGGAGAGGAGTGGGTCCAGCACTACCGATGTTAGTATACTGGAACGAGGGCCCAGGATCGAGGTTGGTGCGCCCGACGACGATGACGATGCTGATCGCAGCCAGCATGTCGCTGCGGAGATGGCAAGCAGCATGCGTGTGAACCGCCCGCGCGGAAGGAGAAGCAATACCACGACCATAACTCCAATTCGGCCTAGTTTGGTTGGTGCGCTTGAGTTTAGGTCAGTATTATCATCGCTACAAGAGGAAGGAAACGTTCGCATGCGGCCACTATACCACGCTCGAAGTTCTTCTGCCGACCTTCTACGGGCAGGACGTGTGATTGTTCGAGGGGCCAAGAGCACGCAAACGATTCAAAATATCGATGATGCTTTTGTTGCGGCCAGGAATCGAGCGCAGTCGTCCGGTGCCCTACCAACTACTCTTGATGCTGACCTTGCACCTCGGAAATCGTCAGAGGATAGAGGCAGGGCCCCCAGCCCAAATACCATAGGGGGAAAGTTGGCCCCTCCACCCAGTGATCAGTTTGGCGGCTTTCACGCAGATAATTCTGGCCCAGAGGATCTGTCACCGAATCTCCGCCCACAGTTGCATCGCCTCCGCATCCCAAGCCCGCATGGCAGCGAAAGGTCCTCGCCATCATTATCACCTTTTCCTGCATTTACAGAATCACCATTCGTTCTTTCAGAGTCTCAACAGCCTCCGCATCTAATACTTCCACCTGCTGCGGAAGAACGAAGCCCTTCTTTTCTTAACTTTGTTGAACACGCAAATTCGAAGCCTATTAGGTGGTGGCCTTACCGGATATTACCTCCACCACACGTCATAGTTGGTACTCTCTTCCCGACTCTTCAAGACTGGAGGGGTAAAAGTATTTGGGATAAATTTGTCAGTATCATATCTGTACCAAGCATATTCTTACTGGTCATCACGTTGCCTGTGGTAGAGACTGAGGCAACAGACAACGACTCAGAAGAAAGCATTGTAGAACAACCGACGTCAGGTCAGCTGGAAAGTACAGCAGTACCAGTATCCACAGAGCCAGGCGGCTCTATTGAGCCCGAGACGGAATGGCAACGGTATAGACGACGCGCGAGGTCTAGAGCTTCTAGTCGCAGCCACTCACCTAGTCTCATCTCTGTGACTGCTCCGGATAATACTCAGGGGCCAGACCAAATTCAGGTGGCGCCAAACCCCCCTCCGTCAAATGTGCAAGTTCCAAAACCTGCCCCTGAACTCTCACAAGATAGCTCAACATTGGGCGATGATGAACAAGGATGGAATCGTTGGCTATTAATTCTCCAAGTTTTTACCGGCCCATTATTCGGCGTGTTCATCGTATGGGCGAATACGATCGAGGATCTTGACCAACCCGTTACGATTTTCATAAAAGCCTTATTGATTTCACTTGCTTGTTCCCTAGTTCTACTTGGGATTATACTTATGACTACGTCACCCGATCGCCGGCCCAAATATCACTTCTTATTCTGTTTCTTAGGTTTCTGTATATCAATCGCCTGGATATCCACAATAGCTGGAGAGGTGGTCGGTGTAATGAAAGCATTCGGTGTTATCTTGGATATATCAGAAGCAATATTAGGTCTTACCATCTTCGCGGTTGGTAACTCAGTAGGGGATCTTGTCGCAGACGTGACTGTCGCACGGCTTGGATACCCAGTCATGGCTTTGTATGTCCATACCTAAACTAAAAACAGGGCTTATTTGGCTAACATTTCATAGATCGGCCTGTTTTGGCGGTCCGTTGTTGAACATCCTACTCGGCATTGGACTCGGAGGCGCGTACCAGACAATGCATGCGGCAAATAAGAAGAAAGCAAAGCACCCCGATAGGCCGATACACTATAAACCGTACCATATCCAGGTCAGCGGGACGTTGATGATCTCTACCATAACGTTACTCTTCACCCTATTCGCGTTGCTAATTATCGTACCGATGAACAAATGGATTATGAGTAGAAAGATTGGCTGGGGTCTAATTGGACTCTGGTCAATCAGCACGGTGGTAAACTTAGTTATTGAAGTGACAGGAGTCTGGCAGGACATAGCGTAAGGGGGTTTAGGTTCAGACATAGAGGTTTCGAGTCAGCTTTATTAATACGGCGGGACGGGATTGTTACGTTTTTACGCTATAGTATATCTAATTAGCGGGACTATTGATCTTATTTGAAAGTAATGTTAAGTCATTTATATTTAACCTGGGCTGTAATTCCGTCTAATACCTGTTTGTTCACTATTTCTATTCAGCCGAGGTAAATGTTGCTAAAAGAAACCTAACTAAATGCCTTGCCGTAACGCTGCTCAATAAGCATTGGATTATTTTCTAAAAATCTGGTTTTCTTCGGGTTTGATCTTCCAGATTCTACCAACATACCTCTAGGTTAGCTTACTTGGTGTGAACCCCATGCAATATTGGAGGCTATCTAAAGTGGGATACCTGGGGAATATGGTGGTGTGTGTTAGGAGGATACGTAGCTGGAAAGTTCTACTATAAGGGGTAAACAAAAAAATCTTATATAGATCTAAGTCGTACTTTAGCAGGAGGACCATACAGTAATCCTAGGCGTCGTTTATATAAGATATACATATCTAGCAACAACTCGCCGAATAAGAGACTATAATTATATATAGATGCATGTATGTTATTGTAGCTTAAACTTATGAGGGTCTAGGATTGTACTGTTTTAAGACTACTCGAAGCTCTGTTAGATTATGTTCTTTCGGTGCTATACTAGTGTCTAGCACACTATCATACGGTATAAACCCATTCATGATAATAGGTAGGCCAGCATGTACTTAGGTAAATAATATATGCTGTTGGTTCCTATCTTATGCGAGGTTGTTGATTTGGATACAACCCAACAAGAAAATCAGCCAATGGAAGATAACCTAGTATACATGTATAACATAGCCCTCTTTAAACATGCTCAATCATAAGTGATCCCACAGGACTATTAAAAAAGACTTTTTGAAAGCCAGTCTCATAAAGCCATTTAAGTTTTCCCTTTAGGTCAATTGTAATTCATTCTTGTTAACACAATATGGCTACCAATTCAACATCAAATTCTCCTAGCCCAAAAGCTAGAATCTATACCCCTCTAGGTCCCAACCAGGTCAGATTTATCGAAATCCTACCTTCTGATAACGATGAACTGCCGGTGAGCTGCCTGCTTCGAACCGCTGAGCTGACGCCGGATCTTCAATATGCTGCTTTGTCGTATGTCTGGAGCGATCCCAACGTCACGAGATATTCTGGTTAATGGGCACATACTTCCCGTGACTATTAACCTCGCATGTGCGCTATGGTATTTCCGAAAAGGAGGCTTCCCGAGTAATGACAACACGGAAAAGATACGACTTCTCTGGTTGGACGCTATTTGTATCAATCAGGAAGACACCGCTGAACGTAGTCACCAAGTAACTCTCATGGGGACCATCTACCACAATGCAAACTCAGTTCTATCATGGCTTGAGGATCCCGAGCTTAGGCGCCTTGACGCCATATTTCCGCTTATCCGTGAATTCTTGTCTATGATGGATTCTATCTCTTAGTCACGGAAGAGAGATGCAGATGATTATTATGTCCGTTCGAAGAGGGCGGGCCTTAAATGGCTAGTCTCGGAACCCGAAAGAAAGAAGCACTTTGTGAAATTATTAGACTGCACCTACTGGACCCGAATATGGATCGTCCAAGAAGTAGCCTTTTTAAGGTCGACATTGACACATTGGTTTATTTGTGGTCACGACTCTGTCACCTTTGAGGAACTCGCTCTATTCGATAGCATCATCCTGTATATATATGGGTTGCTTCCCCATTTGGGGATGAACATCTCTGCATCAATGCAGCGTATGATATGGCGTGCAGTTCACATGTCAGTGCGACGTCTAATAGCGAATATTCTATTTCTAGCGGAAGATGAAAAGAGTAACATGAAAATTGAAGGTAAAGATAAGTTGGTGAACAGGCTCATGACAGCGCAAGGTTCTCTCGCTTCCCGAATTCCCATAGTTACCTAACTATGGAGGCAGTGATCAAGAAACACGGCTTGAATGACCCTGGGTTTGTATTTGAAAAATTGTATTTGGCGGGGATGAACACTTTTGCTGCTGATCCCCGGGATAGTACATAATGTTGAGCCCATTTCCTTCCTGTCCTGCCTCGGGAGCAAAGGCTTCCTAATCCGGGTTTCTAGGCAGTGACTACACCCGAGACAATGCCTGATTCCCTTATATATTCTACTATAACTAAGGAGTACTTATTAACTTTTGTTATCCAAGTGGTGTACGGAGTGCTTGCTTTACTTTCCTGTGACATCGTACCAGACTATACTAAGTCTGTAAAAGATGTTTATCTCGATGCCCTATTACGTGACGAGATAACAAAAATAATAGATTTATACCCTCAAATTTTTGGGCTTAGTCACAATATGGATAACGAACACGACCTCCCTTCCTGGGTACCAGACCTCACTAAGTCAACAATGTGGCACCATACCACTTTTATAGGTAGGCACTCCTCGAGGCCTAGGTTACCAGAAGGAATTCGGCTTCGCGAACCGGAGGTGGTTAATCAGGGAATCCTCCTCGTTCAGGGAGTAGCCTACGACTCCATTGAACATATTAAACGCATCACAAGACTTTATAAAGAACGCAGGGAAATGACATATCAACTCTGTATTGACTAGGTATCTAGTTGATTGGGTGATTCCTGGTAAGACCACAGATGGATTAAGACCAAATCTTTCCAAGAAGCCATTGCAGGCCCTCCTAACTGCTTTATGTTGGGATGGCTTGAAAGATGAAGTTTCTTATTTTGATGGCTTCAGTGGCTTACACATGCATGAGCATAGTTGGAGGTTTTTGATCATGCTGATCTACGACAGTATGATATTATCTGAAGATAAACTACAAGATGCAACAAGACGACTCAAACTTTCTCCGTGGGTTCCACTGGACTGGTTTATGGTAAATTGTTTTGTGGATGCGAGCGAAGTTACGGAACATGCTTTGTTGTAGGCTTATTGAATGAAAAGTTTGCTGAGATGGTCAATAGAGGAGAGCTAGGAATTGAAACATTCGAAATACACTAGGTTAGGTATATTGAAAGGGTAGAGTTAATATTGAATAGTTACAGATGTATGAAGATATCATGTATGTGTGTTAGTGTAGCCCCTATTTCGATACATCCCTGATGTACTTCAATGTTGTTCTCCGGGGGGGGGGGGGGGAGAAGGGACAAGGTAGGTAAGGTACATGTTATATGTACTAAGGTACCGAGTAGTCAAGCTAGTGTGGAGCATGTGGGATATATTGAACTTCAATTGGTGCATCTTTCCCTCTTATTCCCCGACCCTGGCCCTGCCGTACTGCCCACCGCCTTCATTTTAACACGAGTTTACTTCGTATGTACATGCACCAAGTACACAAAGTACCTCTTAACCCCTCCCCCTCCATTTTATCAATTTCAGGGGTCCAAGTATTTAATTACTTACCATCGAGAGGCGCAGCTTACCTTCAACGCAGACGCAGACGAAGACGTTACGTACTTTTACAAAATTAAAGACACGCATCCCGAACTTAAAATTCGACTTCGTTTTTCCTCACCTCGTCAACTCTTTAACCGTGTCTCAAGGAAAAAGAAAGAAAAAATCAACTAAAATTTCAATATGGACGCCGGTACCCCCCCTTATCCTCCCCTAGAGGACCGCCCGATCAAGAACACAATCGCCCTCTTCGATGTAGACGAGACACTAACACCGGCACGTCGTGCTGCTTCGCCCGAGGTTCTTCGCACGCTTGAGCGGCTACGACAGAAGATCGCCATTGGATTCGTTGGAGGATCGAACTTGCCCAAGCAGCAAGAGCAATTGGGCGCTGCTGACCGCCCCGTTACCACTATGTTCGATTTCTGCTTCAGCGAGAATGGTCTGACAGCCTACAAGATGGGTGCTGAACTACCCTCAAACAGCTTCATCAAGTGGCTAGGCGAGGATAACTACAAGGAGCTTGCCAATTGGACCCTACATTATATTGCCGACCTCGACATCCCCATCAAGCGCGGTACTTTTATCGAGTTCCGCAACGGCATGATCAACATCTCCCCTATCGGCCGTAACGCTAGCACTCAGGAACGCAACGACTACCAGGCATACGACGAGAAGCACAAGATCCGAGAGACTATGGTTGGCAAGATGAGGGAGAAGTTCGGGCACTTGGGTCTGACGTGAGTTAACCTACCCCTTTACTTTAATCATAGTATAAAATAAAGTAAAGGAAGGGAAGAAAATAGTACAAGCTAACTTACCGAACTAATTTAGCTTTTCGATCGGTGGCCAAATCTCCTTCGATGTCTTCCCTACGGGTTGGGACAAGACGTACTGCTTGAAGCACCTTGAGGACGAGGCTAAGAAGCCCGGTGGCATCGAGTACACCAACATCCACTTCTTTGGAGACAAGACCAGCAAGGGCGGCAATGACTACGAGATTTACGTCGACCCCCGCACCATTGGCCACTCCGTCGAGGGCCCCGAGGACTGCATGAGGCAGATAAAGGAGACCTTCGATATCTGAAGCTTAAGTTAGGGAAGAAGGAATCCTACAACGATGATGAATGGAGATGATGACTAAGAGTCGCCTGATAGATCTGGCTAGACTACGTTGCATTTGCACATGAACGAAATAAAACAAAAAGGAGAAGTTAAAGAGGTAGAGAGTGCTTAGGCAGCTCATGGACATATAATCGCCAATACCTATATACCTTTGAACCCAACCCCTGAAATACACCCAATAAAAATAAAATAGATGCCTACAAGTATAAAGAAGACCAAGACTTATACTCTAGCACCTAGTTGGCCAATTCATCAAATATCTTAGGACTTATAATCACGCCCAGAAAAATACCTCAAAGTACCAACAGCCTGCCATTTTCTTAACTTTGATTTCATTCAGGCATGACTACCTTCATAACCTACTTAACCAGGTATATATTCAAAATGTCAAGCACCGAACCGTAAGTTCCCAGCCTGCAGAACCTCCTTAGTACAATGACATTATTCATGCTTGCTTGCTCGCTCGCTCCCGCTTTCTTGACTTCTAGCATACTCACATATCTCCTCACTCATATCATCGTAATCCAACTCAATGCATATGATATCATATATGATAACTCTCCCTTCATCCCATCTCATCTCATTTCATATAGACCTTACCTCCCAAACTCCAAATGCGGTACAATAACCGGCCCGTACTTCGTCGGCGTCGTAAACGCGCCATCACCCTGAACCACAAAATCCACCGCGAGACTCAACCGACTAACCCCACCATTCGCCAGCTGCGTCTGGTTCGGCCCATACGGAGTAGCAGGAACAGCATCCGGGTCATACGCCACGACGGCCACGTAATTGCGTCGGCCCATAAGCTTCTTGAGCTCGCGGGGCGCGCCGCTGGCGTCCGTGTGGAAGATCTCCATCATGTCTTCTTTGGTGTCGCTGACCTCGTTGGGCGAGGACCGCTGTCCGTTGACTGGGACGTAGTGCGTCCGGTTGCTGTGTAGCATCTTGAGGATGTATTGCGCGGCGGGCGCGGCGACGATGGGCGAAGTGATGATTTGGTACATGGTTTTGTGGTCGCTGGGGTGTGTTGGGTCGTGAACTAAGCCGGCGCCGGCGGCGTTGACGTCTAGGAGTAGAGTGAGTTAGCAAGGGCGTGGTTTAATAGATTAACGAGAATTATGGGAAAGGAGACGAGGAAAAGGGGGGGTTGGGGATAGATAGATAGGTAGACATACCTCCAGACAAGAAGGTCATACGCAAGCCCTTCTGATGCGATATCCCCTGCAACGTGCGAATTAAATACGTTCGTTCGAGATCCTTGCTTTCGTGAGTCCACATATCCTTCAGGATCTCGCCGATATCCAAGTCACCGAACTGGTTGACCACGTTGCCCATAAGACCAGACTTGCCGACGGCCTTCTTGACCTGACTGAAGCCCTGGGCAACCATCTCCTTGCCGCCGACAATACCTGCCACCGAACTCGTCACCTTACCTAACACATTGTACGTCGTGTTAACCGCCTTCTTGCCCGTCGCGAACGTATTTGCCAGGCTCTCTACCGTGTCCAGACGCGGGTAGACGATAGGCACCGACAACATCCACAAGCAGTGCTGCACGCTAGGCGGCAGCATGGCGATTTTAGGGAATAAGCCTTGATACGTCGGGCCCGCGAGCACGCGGGTTTGCGTTCGTTCCGACCGCAAGTCCACGCCGGCTACGACCACGGCTGGTCCGAGGTACTTGATGAAATGCCAGCCCTGGCCCGTGACCGTGAACAGATCCATATCGTGGCTTACATTCCGCAGGACTTCTAGCGTGGTGTGGTGCTGGAATAGAAGGTACATGTCGACTGCTATCCGGCCGATGTTCTTGAACATCTGAGAGTTCTGCATGTAATCGGGGTATGAGCCGTAGCCGTCGAATCTGAGGCGAGGTGACATAGTTAGCATAGAACATACACACACACACACTTCAACCTCATATCGTCGAAAATACTTACATGTCGTGATCGTCGATCTGGCAAATATGCGGGATCTGCGCAAACGCCTCGCGCAAGAACGGCTGGTCGAAATGGCTCGTGTAGAAGTGGAAATAAGCATGCGACACGTCCTCCTCGTGGCGCGCCGTCCACGCCGCATTCTTCCTGTTGTCGCGGCCCGGCAGCGCCAGCCACTGCTTCAGCAGCGGGACTTCCTTCCACAGCCTGTCGCCGTAGATCTGGTCGCCGAGCCCGAGCTGCACGTGGAAGCCGCCGCAGTCCACGTTCTTCTGCAGCACGTCCTTCCACATGAAGCCCAGCCCGCCTAGCTTGCTGCGCTCGCCCTGCGACGTGCTCGCCGCGAAGTCGTTGCCCGAGTGCGCTATGAAGCGCCAGTTCGTCTCGCTGCGGCCCGCGACGACGAATTCGTACCGCGTGCAGCCTAGGTGCGACGTCACGGCGTACGTCCATCTTTCCGTCGCGCCGTCGCCCATCTGCAGGTCGACGTCGTATTTGAAGAACTGCCACCTTTGGTGCGTGAAGATCGTATGGGGCACGAGTTGTCGCGGGTTCGGGGATAGGTCGACGCTGCGGTGGATGTGGATGGTGGGGGGTTGGGGAGCGTCCGTGACGATGAGGACACTTCCGTGCCAGATCCCCTTCTCGACCTCCATGTTCGTGTACCGGAGATACGGGCCGAAGTAGACGTTGTTCGTCGGCTGGACTTTGTACATGTCCACTCCGGCGCCGGGAGGCGGTCCCGTGAAGCCGGCTGCTGTCGGCGTGGCTGTTGCGACGCTCATGATGCTCTCGGCATAACCGGGCGTCTGCGGCGGGAACATAGGCGAGGCCATCGCGCTCTGCTTGCCGAACATCGGCGATCCGAGAGGGTTGCCGTAGGTTGATGCGGTCGGAGATAGAGGTGGTGCCTCGTGGTGGATAGGGTTGGGACCCTTGGGGAACTCCCATTGAGTAGCTTGCGAAGCTAGATGGATGTAATAATACTGGCCCGAGTTCTGGTCGAGATGCGCGATCCAACCCTCAGGTAGCGGCGGCGGAGAAGTTGGACCTTGTCCTTGGAACGGAGAGGGAGTGTGAGTAACAACGGTCTGCTGTACTGGTTGGCCATTTTGTTGCTGCTGTTCCGGCCTGGGATCGTTCGCGAAAGCAGGGTGTCCGGGATGTTGTAGAGCCGGGGACGCAAGAGCAGCAGCGGCTACTTCTGCTTGCTTCTTGGGCGGTGGTGATGATGTGGCTTGGGTAGATTGGGCTGGTGTCGACGAGCTTGAACTTGGCTGGGCTGGCCGCTGCTTCTCATTGGGGTATGCGGAGGAGCTTCCACCACCTGGATTGATGCTGGAGTATGCGGGAGGAGGACTTGGTGACATTTGCATTCTCTGGAAATCTTGTTCTAACACGCTGATCTGAAGTGCAGGTCCGCCACTTGTATTCGGCCCCGAGCCAGAAGCTGAGCCGGTGGCCGAAGCTGTGCTTGAGCCTGTATTGGTGGTGTTCACTGGCCGCGTTGCCTGCGCGCCAAAAGTCGGAGCAGTGGGACTAGTGACGGGGTTTGCTCCCTGGTATACGGTAGGGGGGCCATGTGGCTGTTGATCGGGAGCCTCCGTCGGCGTCCAAGGACGAGGTGGCTGCTGCGTAGCCGGATGTTGTCCGTATTGCGCCAACCGTTGAGCCGCCGCTGAGCTCTGAAGACTATTAAGAGTTGCGGTTCCTGATATTCCAGCAGCCGCATATCTCGCCTCGATACCTCCTCCGGGGATAGTACCTGGTTCTACGATAGGAGTCTCCGGCGGGGGTGGAGATCCTCGGCTTGCTCTTGTGGTTGAGGTAGAAGCTGTGGATGCAAAGCGGTTTACGCCGCTGTCTGGCATCTTGAGATGATTGTCTTCAGTTGGTTGGGGCCGCGCATTGCTGTTCGAGCTTGAGCTCGAAGCCGCAGAGCTCGCCCTAGGTGGGGGGTAGTAGGGCTTTTGATGATAGTTAGGGAAGGACGTGGTAGTAGTAATATTCGCTGGTTTCGCTTGGTTGCCGAGAGGTTTTGCAAAGAGACCGGTATCCTCTCCTGGAGGGCTAGCCGGACTAAGCGACGCTGGTAAAGGTCTAGGAGCAGTTCCCCGTCGTTCAGCAAGACCGGGCCTTTTCCCGGTAGGACTTGTTTCTAATCGCGGGGTGGTGTCGTTAAAGGAATCCGAATGTGAAGAGCCCGGAGGACTCGTGTATATCTTATTGAGAGAGGGCCGGCGGTCGTCGGCAGGATATGGAGGTCGACTCGACTGGGAAGGTTGACCAAATCGATGGTCGTCGTCATCAGGGTATGGCAGAGGCGCAGCAGAGCTCGAGGCGCCCGGCGGTAGGGGAAAAGTAGGCTGGGAAGATGCTGGGGTAGGATATTTGAATCTATCGGAACTAGGTTTGGGACTCTTGGGATTGAATATTCTCAGAGGCTCAACCGTAGGGCTGTCGCAATCTTCAGCGGGTTTATTAAGGAACATCTCCTCTTCAGGTCTCCCGTGTCGATCCATCCTGTTTCACGTATTCTCCCGTACTCGGAGCGCAAACCAGCTAACGAGGCGCAAAAAGGGACCGGCAGAATACGCGGGATGACGCACGGGAAAAAAGATGATAAAAGTTATTTATAGGCGCTTTGCGACAGCCGGACGTACAACGACGTCCAGACGATGGCTTGAACGAGGTGGGGTAACGATGATTGGTTTTGGTTTTGTCGTGAAGCTCACTGAAGGCTGACGGCTTTCGACCAAAGGGAATAGAAAGAATACGGTATGTACAATATACGCGCAGTACAAAACATGAACGGGTGAAACGAATTCACGGGAAGGACAAGATGGCTTCGAAGAGGTCTATGATATGCGACCTATTGTCTGGCCGTGTGGATATGAGCGTGCCCCTCTTGGGCCTCTTGGGGGGAGAGAAGCACCTTGTCCGGTCCAGTGGACTCGTCCAGCTTGGCGACTTGGAAGACAGGGCAGATGATTGGTTGGTTTATAAGTTGGCGCTTAAGAAATAGGGAATTTGAGTGAAGTAGAATAGTATTTCCAAGCGCCCAATCAGCCCCATGCAAGATGAGACCTGCCGTAGGTCGCAACATATACTGGCTCTCATAGAACAGAAGTCTACCGGCCTAGTTCTGGCTTGTCGATTTTCCTTGACTTTATTCTACACGCTAACCATTGGAGAGGTTAGCTCCCTACCAGAGCAAGAATCTATTCAGTAAAGCTATGATAGGATGAGATGTAAATAGAGATGGTGGGTCAGCTGCACACTGCCTCTTGATTCACTTTTACTACTACGTGCAGATGATGTTCATCTTAACGTGCCATAGTCAAATTAAGCCCATGATTGTAAAGTTTGTTAGATAACTTTTTCAGAATGTGTAACAGGGGTCATCCGATGGCATGATGGATGGATATACTCGTTAGCAAATGGTCATAGTATTTTTCACTTGACGAGAAAGATCCCGTCATAGCCGTGACACGGCCCGTAGCTTATAAGATAGAGAGTCTGAAGAATGTACATAGGCGGCTATCGAACCAAACTTTGAAATTATCCAGCTCTATTTGCTGGGTGTGCCCCTGTATGCTTGTGATATGCATGTTGTATCGTACATACATTGACGATCCTTCCCGTCAAGTGGGAACTATCAAAAGCATAGTTATTTAAAATAAGAGGGCTCCCGCGGCGCCCCGCCATGAAAAGGCGAACCGCTATCTCATAAGAAGGATAGTTTATAACTTCATGTTGAATTTTGGTCTATTATCAACCAAGTTTATTGAGTACTTTATTTCTATAAATAAGATCTGTAAGTTAGCTCATCGTAATTTATACTACTCTTAATAAAACCGATTACTTCACAAAATAGTTTACCTATTTGTAAATAATCAACAAGACCAGAAGCATACCGTCAAGGTTATTAATATCATCATGGACCCTTTACTATACTGATTCTAAGTATAGGAGAAGTAGTAGGTAGTCAAATTTCAGCCTTACGAACGCCACAATATTTTTGTAGAAAGGCTTCGAAATGATACAATGTCTTTCTTTGTTCGGCTCGGCTCGGTCGCGAACCTTTCGAGTCGGATGCGAAAGAGGTAGTTCCCTGAAGGCGACAATCTGACGCGGAATAACGACGAATACACCGGCTGCCTGCTTTAATTCATAGCGTATGGTGACTCTTAAACATATGATTCAATATATCTCATCTCTAGTGTTCGGATACCAAGCTTGCCTCTTCGCGCCCGAACTACGTTTTTTGCCTCCCGTCTCCCCAATCTGAAAGAGGGATCGGGGTTCGACCATTGAGCCAATCATAACGCTGCATACTTACTCGACCGTCTGAATTGGTGCGTAGGACGCGTGGCAGCCACCGAAATCATGCTGCGTCTGTGCCAGATGCCTCAGCTAGGCTACGATTTCTAGCGTGTTCTGATCTGTTCGAAACTGGGTTACGTACACATTTCTGACTGTTTTGTAACTCGTAAGTCAAGTTCGGCTACGTTTGATATTCGCCATGGCGAGTCGTATGTTACGTACTCCGTCTTGGAGCCTTGATATGTCTTTGTATATAAGGGCTGGACTGAGCGTCCTCTGGTTTGACATAACATCTTCAGAAACACCAAGTTCATCATTACAGATCTAAAAAACAATTATCCAAGATGGAAAATAACAACAACAACAACAACAACAATCAAGTTCCCATCTGGGACTTCCTACAATCACTTAATCCGCACGGGGCTGGAAGAGGTGGCGTCGGCATTGATCATGCCAACTTCGGTCCTCAGTTTCATTCGGGATTCCCATTTGACCCCGCCCAATTCAACCCCTGGATGGCTCACGGTTGGGGCCGCTGGGGTAACCACGGAGGACATGGCAGGGGCGGCCACCAACAATATCGAGATGCACCTGAGACCGGCAGGGAAGAAGACCGCGGCGACACTGAAACGGAGAGTTCTCCCGAAACCTTGAGGCATACGCCGGACGAGTCAGTTACTAGCGAGGTTCCACATCCTCCACCACATGGAGCCTTGCCTCATCATCCTCCACCGCCTCCCGGAGCATTCCCGCACCCCCACGGTCCGCCGCCGGGTGCCCCGAACCACCACGGTCATCCGCATCCATTCGGCCCCCGCCGAGGACGAGGAGGTCGATGTGGACGCGGCGGCAGGCGTGGACCGCATACAGCACCGGCCTATAACGGCCCATGGGACTTCCGTCCATTGATGCACGCTTTTGCCGCTCATCCATTCGCGGAGGCTTTTAGAGAGTACATGGACCAAGTTCGCAATGGTACCTCTGGCGAATCGAATGAGCACCAAGACGATGCATTCGTCCCGCCTATCGACGTCTTCAACACCGAGAGAGCATACGTACTTCATGTATCACTACCAGGAGCGCTGAAGGAAGACATCGGAGTGAACTGGGACGGCGAGAAAATCAACATTGCTGGGGTTGTATATCGTCCGGGCAATGAAGAGTTCCTCCAGACCTTGGCTTCGAGCGAAAGGAAGGTTGGTATGTTTGAGAGAAGCATCAAGCTACCACCTCCCGGAAGTGACGAGAAAGAGGATATCGACGGTCTCGGCATCACCGCGAAAATGGAGAACGGTATTCTCATCGTTACCATCCCCAAGACCGAGAAGGAGTGGACAGAGATCCACAAGGTTGATATCGAGTAAATATAGATGTCGCAGGGTTAAAGGGTTAGGTATATGATGGTTGGGTATGGAATATTGATAGTAACCTCATAAGATGGAATGGTGGGCGTTAGGATAGGAGTTACAGGTAGCACAATCCCCCCGTATAGCAATAAATAATTAATTCTCTAAGAATACTTCCACGTGTTCTGCATCATCGTATAAACCCCTGGAAATGTCTTAATAACGATACCCTAGATTGCTTCTTGTATTCACTATGATACTCACCTAGTATTGTTTCACATTCCAATTAACTAAGAGTTGCAGGATAGTATCCCTTATACGCCGTGACAAGGGATATAGTTTTCATTAAGTCCATTTACGCTTTAGTATCTTCCGTGGCTAGGACATCCGTGTCAAGCTCTTGCATGACTTCGACCACTAAGTTGAGACTATCCATAAAAGAGTTGACGGCTACGCGAAGCATCCTGTTGGTGGTGGCCTTATACTCGGTTCGTAAAATATTCCCGTCTGAATCTCCATTGATGGCATCTTCATCTGACTGATCAATGGAGAAAGTTCGCTTCACTAAAGGCGATAGCTCTTTGTCGACTTGTAAAGCCTTTAGGGCAATAGATGCTAGTCTTGTTGTAGGGAATGGCACCTCAATCGTCCTAAGAAGCAATCTTAGCCTGAAATCATTAATAGATTACGGTTACGAATACTAACATACAGTGCACATGGATATTGTATATCTGCTATTGAAGCCATGGTGACTGGTTGTATGCTTTTTTCCCAAGTGAATAGAGTCTGGGGTGGATTAATGGCTAAGAGGCTTGGAATGTTGATTGCGCAATAAGCAAATAGTGAGGTTGCAATTGTGAGCTGCGGCGGGGAACACGGCCAGGGAACACAGGGAACACAGGGAACACAGGGAGGGGTAAAGGCAAACCAGGTTTCTTCTAGGTTCAAAATGTTCCGTAAAAGATGATAAGATAAGGTTTGGTAGGATGATAAGAAGCTTTGGAATTCAGCTGCGGCTTATGAGGCCAGCGTTTCAGCCACCTATGTAATGGGTCCATACGGTTGCTAAGCAACGGCTTGACCGGTAAACACGACAGGGCAGACAGGGGCATAGGTCACGGTCTTAACCTAATATGGTAAGATGTCAAATGAGGACGCTATGCGACGGGCTAGAAGTTTGACCCTTGTCACTTTCTTACCCCAACATAACAACAATCAAATAATAATAGAGCGAAACCATACAAAAACATCCTTTTCTTAAAAAACACCCATTAATAATTTACATCGTCTACTTCAACTTCCACCTTTCTTCCTTCTTATCAGCTACCTAACTCTTCTTGCTTGCATTCACTACTACTTGCTGTCGATACGCGATACACATCATACATCATTGAACTAGTTACCGGTACATGAACTGTTTGTTTATCGTATTCGAAATTAGAATCATTTCTTCACCGATATCATTAAAACGGTCCTTCCGCCGACTGATATATTTCCAATCGCTACATTTATAACACTACAGGCCTGCGTTTGTTTATGCAGAGCCATTGAAGCTTCCCGTATTCCCGTCTGAGTCTATACTTGACGGGGTAATCAAAGCCAGCTCTTGAGCCGGAAACAACAAAGGAAGTATAGCAGAAAAGAGCAGAAGCAGCGATAACGTCAGCATTCAAGATGCCGCCTTCAAGGAGCTCCCCTTCGGGTCAGGTCATTGAGTATATTCCAGGTATGTTTCCTTTCAACTATTATATTCGTCTAGTCTTCTAGCATACCCGATATCAACTTATTCGCTTTCACCTCTTATTCGTATTTATCCTACTTGGTTATTGTCCTAGTCACATTTGTTATGTCCTTTGACTCCTTGAGCGTCTGCCTGACGCAGATCGAGCTGGGGAATACCATTTCTCCTAGCTTCCCACGAAATACCTTACATCCCTCATTGCTACTTAATCCAGAAGTATTTCCGGTCACATTACTAACATTTGCAGACCGCCTTTACCTAGCATCCTACATCCATCCTCCCACAGCCGACACCGTCTTCCCCTACTCCGAACCTCCAACTCGTTCGCCAAGTAAACGATCGCAAAGAGCTGTTGATGGGCCTTCGCCTGCCGTGTCTAAGTCGGATCGACACCCCCCATACTACTTTACAGTCGATGACAGCCTCTTATACAACGCTTTTCACCATGATTTTGGCCCACTTCACATCGGTCATCTGTACCGTTTTGCCCTACATTTTCACGATGTTCTTGGCGCAAAGGAAAACCAGCATAGACCTATTGTGTTTTGGAGCCGTGCAGACCCGAGGAGTAAGTCCAATTCCCACATATAAAAATTCTTACTATTACTAACAATTTCGAATAGGCCGGGCCAACGCCGCTTGTTTACTCGCTTGCTACATGGTCTTGATTCAGTCTTGGCCACCTCACTTGGCCCTGGCACCGATTGCGCAGGTTGATCCACCTCTAATGCCTTTCCGCGACGCTGGTTACAGTCAGGCGGATTATGGTATTACTGTGCAAGACATCGTGTACGGTGTCTGGAAAGCCAAGGAGGAAGGTTGCTGCGTACTGGACAACTTCGATCTTGATGAATACGAAAAATTTGAACGTGTCGAACACGGCGATTTCAACTGGATCACACCTCATTTCCTGGCATTCGCATCTCCGCAACATAGCCCGGTGGCACGCATCACCGAGTCGTCAGAATTATATGATTCTCTTCCTAAGACACTCTCCGCGGTCGATTCTCACCCAAGCCTCCCTCAGTCATTCAAGAACGTACTGAGCCACTTTTCCGAGCGCAGTATCGGTCTAGTTGTCCGACTTAACTCGCCTTTATACTCCCCATCTTACTTTGAGGCGTTAGGGATCCAACATCTCGATATGATTTTTGAAGATGGTACTTGCCCCCCCTTAAGCACCGTTCGAAAGTTCATCAAGCTTGCGCACGAGACGATTACAATTCGGAAAAAGGGTATCGCAGTTCACTGCAAAGCCGGTCTTGGGAGAACTGGATGCTTGATTGGGGCGTACTTAATCTACCGTCATGGATTTACAGCAAATGAGGTCATTTCATTCATGCGTTTTATGCGCCCTGGTATGGTTGTTGGTCCTCAACAGCATTGGCTGCACATCAATCAAGGGGTTTTCCGCGAGTGGTGGATCGAAGAGAGACTAGAGAGGAAGTTAAGAAAGGAGCTCGCGGCAGCGAACCAGGCGCCCAGCACGCCCATCCGAGCAATGCAGAAGGCTACTCTAAGCCGAAGTGCCCAGGCATCTACACCTCCCAGCAGAAGCCCATCAAACCGTACGCCTCTCGGCGAAATGGATGGTGAAAGACGTAATGCGGCTGCGCAAGAGGACTACCTACCGGCTCCAACGCCAGGTCAGCCTCGGAAGACGAGTCGCATAGACCGACACCATCCTTACCAGCGCAACGCGGTTCAGCCATCCCCGGTTGAGGAAGAGCGCGAAGGGGCCGAGAAAGACACGGAAGTTGTCTCCGTCCATAGACGGTCTAACGATGGTGAATCCGAAGAGGAATGGCTCCTACGCATGCGAACCCATCGCAAGACATCGCACTCCCCAAGCCGCAATGAAAAGATGAGATCAGTAAGCCAAAGCACGACAACAACAATATATAAGGTCATAGACAATGATGCATCTAATGACGCTGAGAATATTGGCAGTGCTCGGCCAAAGACCATTGTGGACCATGTCACCGGCTCGCCAACGCGGTCGGCGAGCGCTTCAGGCATATTGACCAAGGTCAGGAGCAGCAAGCGAACGGCCGAATCCAGCCGCAATAAGGATTCAGCGGGTGTGCGCAAGACGAGCGGTCGGGTTGGTAGTATCAACGCCAGCTCAAATGTTAGCTCAACGGCACGCAAGGTATCCGCGATATAGGAGACCGATCCCTTGCTGCTGCCGAACTGAGCGTTGATGGCTGCTTGATGTTGCGTTTTTAATGGCATATTCAATGATAATTAAACCCCACGGACCTGCTTTTTTCACGATGATGACTATGACGACCAAGTCACGGTTCCCTGCATATGCGTTTGGCGTTTGGTATCGACGAGGCATATGAATTTTCCTCGGCAGAGACGATGGATCTTACTTCTTCTCCCTCCGCATTTCTCGAAGATGAATCTTCGCATGGCCCCCCATGGCCGGTTATGCTAGCGTTTCTTCTCACCGGCGAGCTCTCCCACATTGAAATGTTTGAATGACTAGGGCGTTACGGACTTACTAGGTATTGGCTTGGAATGAATGGACATGAGCATTGTTTTTAATCTGGGCTGTCTCACTTGCCATGTTGCCTATCTTGACTTCGTACCCGAAGTTAAGTTGGAAAGCGGATGCGAGCAGAGCATTGGAGTAAAAGGGGAGGATCGAGTTGAAGTAACATTGCTTTCTGCTATTTAGATAAATGAGTACGTGCATATGATGAATACTTTCTTCGTTTAATTATGTTTTGTTTCTTCAGGCGGTGAACCGTGCATGCGATTATGAACAAGGCTTGGTTGTACCTTGACTGCTTGACCGAGGTCGGCATGAGAGCATGAGAGATGTGGATGAAAATAGAAAGATGAGCAACAACCCCGGTCTGTTCCCTGTCTAGTTACTCTTTAATAACAAGTATGTAGTTCTATTATTGACGTCAAGGAAATTGATTTTAATATTATAATTCGCTCTATTAGATTCTCTTCGATTTGAGCTACGTAGCGAGTCTCTAGGAAATGGATTGAGACTTAGGAACTGTGTCATGATATCTAAGTTATTGAAGTTGGAATTTTCCTAAAACTGATGAATCACATTCCCAAATCCTCCACGAGAGCGGAGATCCCATGATCCGATCCATCACCTTGGAGTATCTCGGGGATTTATTTTGGTTAGCTGCAGACGGACGGCTTTTAAATTCTGTGCGCCAGTGAACAGTAGGACTGCGACGGGAAACCCGACGCTGCGCGACGAGGGACAACATACTGTTTTCCCCAAAATAAGTCTTTTGCGCATGCTAAAAATCCAGCTTCTGCATGTTTTTTTGTGCTCGTCTGCAGTACTTGGCTAGATCAGATCAGATCGGATGTGAGGGGAAGGGAAGTCGAGTGACTGACTACCTAACTTGGAAAAAAGGGTGTCATCCATCCCGTGAATGTTCGGATGGATTTAGGGAGGGGGAATACCTTGATACCATTTACCAACCATATCCGATAGCTCTAGTCCGTCTTTCATATATCATATGAACAACCGGCATATCGCACGAAGCCTCCCAGGCGCGCCGCCATAGCTATGAAAACCCTCGGTGTTCCAAGACAAGCCGTTAAGCCATGGCACGTCTTTGCGGCGCTGGCGACAATAGCGATCATCGTCGTAGTAGTCACTCCCACGGCTATTTTAGTACCCAGACGGAACCGCGACGAGGCTATCGAGGAGGACAAAAGGGTAATAATATACCCCCTCCTATCTCTCTCTCTCTCATTCTTTTCCCACCCATGTTCTCCCTTAATTAGAATTCCGCAGTAGATCAAGTGCTAAGACTTAACGAACGTAGACCCCTTCGCAACCGGACATCGCCCGCGTGAACTTGGGATATGCGCAGTATCAGGGCTCGCTCGTGGGCCGCGATGGCGGCGTCGCGGAGTACCTCGGCATGCGGTATGCGGCGCCGCCCACGGGGGAGCGCAGGTGGCGGGCCCCGGTTGAGCCGGAGGTAGATGATTCGGGGGACCAGGCGGCTGATACGGTAAGGTGTTTTTACCTGCCCTTGTTTCTATATCTCTTAGCTACCTAATGAGAAGGTAATGAGACGAAAGGAACTATAATGAAGGAAACGAGTAACTAACACACGGAGCGAACCTAGTTCGGCCCCATCTGCCTGGGCATCTCGGTACCGTATCCTAACGGCGGAGCCCAAGATGAAGATTGTCTGTACGTCAACGTATGGGCGCCGGCTAACGCTACGGTCGACTCTAAGCTGCCCGTGTGGCTGTTCATCCAAGGAGGAGGTTCGTCTTTTTTTCTCTTCTTCTTTTTCCATCCTGTCTCCTATATACCTACCAATAGACAATCACAACCCCCCTCCCCCTCTTTCACTTAAACCAAAGACTTATCCCCAACTCCGCGCTAAACCAAAGAAAAAAAACAGGCTACACCGTCAACAGCAACGCCAACTGGAACGGCACCGCCGTAGTCGAGCGTTCGGCCCAGAATATAATCCTGGTCAACTTCAACTACCGCGTCGGGCTCTGGGGCTTCCTAGCGAGCGAGCGCGTACGCGGGGATGGCGGCGGGGCCGGAGACTTGAATGTTGGGCTCCGGGACCAGCGGGAGGTCATGCGCTGGATCCGACGGCATATCGCGCAGTTCGGAGGCGACCCGGAGCACGTCGTGATTAACGGGGCTTCGGCTGGGGCTGGGTCTGTTGCGCTGCACTTGCTTATTTCGTATGCGGAGGGTAGTCAGACGCAGCACGATAACAGTACAAGTAGTAGTGGAAGTAGTAGTAGTAGCGGCGATCTCTTCGTGGGTGCTATCGGGGAATCCCCCTTTTTCCCCGCGCAGCCGACCGTCGTGGATCTCGAGTGGCAGTTCGACCTGGTGCTCTCGCAGACGGGGTGTAGCGACGAGGAAGAAGATCCAATGTCGTGTCTCCGGAGCAAAGACACCGCGACTCTACAACAAACCGCGAATATTCCCTCCCCATTCCCCGGACGCCCGGGACTCCCTGACCCCTTACCCCTATTCTACTGGACGCCCTGCATAGACGGCTCTCTCCTCCCAGACTCGCCCTCCACGCTCTTCTCCCAGGGCTCCTTCATCGACGTCCCCGTCATAATGGGCACCACCACCAACGAAGGCACCGTCTTCGCACCCGCCGACACAGCCAGCTCGGACGCCATGACGCTGTTCCTTCAGAACAACTACCCGCGCCTCTCTTCCGCTCAAGCCAACAACGTCCCCCGCAAATACCCGCAACAAGCCACCGTGCCCCTCCACGAATCCTGGTTCCCCTCCGCGGCAACCGCCTACGGCGAAGCGACGTTCATCTGCCCGACGAACAATATTCTAACAGCATATGTCCAGCGCCGGAACAATGCTCAGCGTGCATGGAGCTACCGGTACGACGTCTACGACGCGATGAACGCGGCGCTGGGGCTAGGCGTGCCGCATATATGGGAGTCGTGGGCCGTGTTTGGGCCGGATAGCCAGCAGGGGCCGGGGCGTGGGCCGACGAGTTATTATGGCGAGGCTGCGGCCGTGGTGCCGTGGGTTATGGACTACTGGATCTCGTTTGTGCGGACTTTGGATCCGTCTACGTTGCGGACGCCGGGGGCCCCGGTGTGGGAGTTGTGGGATGCGGAGGGAGGTGGGAATGGGAATGGGAATGGTACTGGTACTGGTAGTGGTGGTGAGAGATTACTCATGCAGGTGGGCAATTTCTCGATGGAGACGGTGCCGGAGGATCAGTGGGAAAGATGTGATTTTTGGAAAGGGCTTGCGCCTGCACTGCAGCAGAGGAGGGGAGTTCGATGAAGTTTTGGGTATTGATTTTTTGAGTATCTATTTATGCCTCTGATATGATAACGATTTACTTGGCTGGTGGTTATAGTATGGGCAATTAGATGATATCACGGACGGCATTCTAGATCGTATATACCAATATATATATATATGTTCATCATGTAGATTCTACAAGAAAATACCTATCAACTATCTATGATATATGTAGGCAAGAAGGGCTATGTCCCGTACGATTAAGTTAAAAGTCACTTTTCTTCATCTATTCTTCTATATCACTTGTATCTAGAACCCCTAACGTACTTTAGACCACCTACTTTCGAATATAGACACCATGTTCAGGCGATGACCTTGTGAATTCCATAGAGACCTACAAGGTATTATCGCACCCTTCCTTGACCAAGCTCCCATATCCTCAGGAAACTTAAAAGATTCGGGGTCGACATAGGTAAATTTCGGTGTTGGCAAGACAGTAGAATCATCAAGCTCTGAGCCTGCCAGTAGTTCGAATAGAGACTTCTTAACAACTGCTGCATAATGGTCCACTATGTTCTCAAAGTCCACCGCATTAGTGAGGGGTAAAGCCGAGATAGGTCCTTCAATTGCACGGTAAACCGCCGCTGTTTGAACAAACACGTCACCTGAGGGGGAGTCGACAACGACGTGGTGCAAGAGGGGATCTTCCGGGGTCCCTCCACCGCCAACGGTATACAACCGGATAGATCCGGCGTTTATATTCGCGAATCCCAGATGCGCATGCCACTCCACACCAGCCGAACGCGGCAACTCTTCGACTTCAGCGGAGAAGACAAACGGTAGTGGTTTGTGGGGAATCTTCCCATCTTCAGCGTCAGCATCTGCATCTGCATCTGCACCTGCGTCGAAATCCTTCAAGACCTCCCAATCAGGAAGACTTGGTCTCGAAGCGGTATCATTACTACTATTACCGTATGTCATATACGCAGGATTATACTTTCGATCCCACGGGTCCGGCTCCTCTATCGCGTCTGTCGACAGACTAGAGGATGCCACGTGCGCTGCATTCCACGCCGCAGAAGCGAGCAGGGCACTGTGTTTCGCTTCCGAACGGAGGGCCGAGCGCGGGAAGTATGCCACGGCGCCGCTCCACCATTGGACCTGCATCTCACCGCCAACACGCCAGAGGTGCTGCAGCGCTAGGGTTATTTGTAATGCGAGGCTACTGCTACCGCCCTTCCGTATCGGAGGCAGGGTCATGGAGGCGGGTACCAAGGGTATCTGGCCCGCGATGGACACCGCAAGAGGCACTTCTGAGTTTTGGGCATCGTTATTTTGACCCTCGTCGCTCCTAAGCAGGGGATACGCGACCGCCTGGCTGTATGGGCCAATGTTGGCTGGTGCCCAGTACGACCGCGACTGGACGTGCAAACCACGCCTTTCATTTCGCTTCAAATGAGGCTGAACGGTGAGAAGAATAACTATGTCGGCGCCTCGAGGTAGCATCAAATCCCCACATGAGATAGTTACTCGAGCAGGCGGGTTTGGTTCACGGAACAGGGCACCGTAGAGCTTGTTAACGGTCGGAAAGTCTCCCATACGCCGTAACACGATGACGGAACTGACAATTGCTGTTGACGGTAAGGTATGTTCGCCTAGCCGTCGACGAACCTCGTCAACGACCCTGGCTGTCTGATCTTCAATGCCCCCCGAATTTCCAACAAAGTACCAGTCATTGCTACTAGACTCGGTGTGCTTATACCGAGACAGGCTCGATGTAGGTGATAGTAATGTCTGAGATAACCCGCTATGACCATACCCCAGCCTGTCCTCGTTATGCAGCGACTCGAGGACAGTCTTGAATTCCGAATCGAGCAAGTCTGGGATACGAACACCGTAACTATCTGTCTGAGATGATGCATCCAAATCCGACTTAATCTCAACTTTAGCCTTACGAATGCTTAGCCAAGCGCTTCCGCCACCCTCACGTACAATTCTTTTGTCATCTTCATCAACTACTATCCGGCTCTTAAACAGCACCGACGGGCCGTCTACAATAAGCGTCTCAAACTCACCGCCCTCTCCCAAGACGGCACCCCGTCCTCCGTCGCCCCCAAAGCGGCGGAGCGCGCGGCGGATGCGGGACACGGCGGACTCGCTTGCCACATTTTCCCACAAGAAATCTTCTCCCAAGCCAGCGCTAGCCACCTTCACAATACGGGCCTCCAGCCCTGCGGCTCCCATATCACGGAGCAGCTGCGCGTCATCGTTCTTATCGGTACCTGCAGCTTGACTATCTGTAGCAGCAAAGGACAATGGAAGTTCGGGGAATTGCCACAGATAGGCCAGCGGCACTAGGCCGAGTCTCAGAGCAACGGATTCGACGCGAGTTCGCTGGTATGTCGATAGTATAGCGCCTGTACACAGGGCGTTGACATCCGGGTGGGCCTCGAGAACAGCACGCAATAGCGGGACGAGTGACTCTGTCTCATCCTCGTCTTCGCGGTGGCCATCAGGGTCCTGGTAGCTTATGCCGTGGTCCACCGCTGTTCCCAGGATAGGTCGGCGGAATAGAGGTAGTCCCGTGGCCTGTGCATACAATGGGATAACTTGATGACCCACGGTCTGGTACATGAAACTATTCAAGTCGGCCTCGTCTTCTTCCTCGTTGCCACTATGGTCTATTTCCGGTGCCGAGCATGAAGTAGAGCATGAAGAGTGCTGGGGGTGTTGATCCACGCCGGGAGAGATCCGTATGGTAGCAGTAGTAGTGCTGCCGGCATCGGCCCCAGTTACCTCTTCAGCTTCAGTTCTGTCTGTGCTTCCCGAAATATTGGCATCTCTGATATAGTTACAACTATTACTAGCATTGCTGACTCTAGGCGGCGGGTGGAGGTTAGCTAGAGCTACGACTCGGTGCCCATTCGCCAGACAGTGGAGAATGGAGTAGAAACTATCCTTCCCCCCGGAGACCAACGCAACAACGTGTAGGGGTCTGTCGGCTGCCATAGGATGGGATGGCATGGGATAGCATGGGTGTTCGGTAATTGCAAAGGCCTGACAGCTATCAATTTCGGAGAAATAGAAAAGAAATCGAATAGTCCACCGGCCTAACAGGGAATCATTTCTCTGCGTACCAAGTTTTCCGTACCCGGGTTTCTCTGTACTAGGCGAAACGGGAACAAATCTCGACTACCGCGACATCAGTGTGGCACGATTGCCTCACTTTTCTTAGCTATATCTCAGCTGATCTCGGCGTGTTATGACTTCATATGATATTTAATATAATCTTTAAGATAGCGGCCCTAGACTTTTTGAGCTATGACTTTGATTAGTTACTAGCTTTTATGAGGTTAGGCAAGATTTTAGTATAGTTAGTATAGTTAGATATAGTTAGTATAACTAACTAACTAGTATAAATACATACATGAAAGCTAACTAGAAGCTAATAAGCGAATCTATGTTGATCTATGCGGATAGTTCCTCAGACGGTGTCTTCTTAGCGGGGTTTCGGATTGTTGAAAGTCTGGAAACTAGAATTTTAGGAACCGATTTTTTTTTATCAGCAGACATCATAAGAGAGATAGTCAGAGATGATTAATCGACTAAAAGCGTTCTACCATAATAAACTAGAGAAAGATACGAGTTTACTATCTCGTTATCTCGCTATCTTGAATAGTAGTTAACAGTAGTTAACAAAAGTCCCTCCGTTACGCGCGTATGTTATTCATGTTTTTTTTTTCTTGATTTCGGGGTTTGAAAGCCGGACCGTATTTGTTCGGGGGCTAATTGTCGGACTTGATTTACCTCTATCTCATAACCAACCTATGACACAATATTGAACTTTGAGATGTAGAATATACGTATTTATGTACCTATGTATGTACATGTATGTATTGAAGTAGTTACATAGATAGATACTTTTAGTTACACAAAAGAACTTGTCCCGAAACCTTCAATGTTGAATACCTACATCCATGTACGATAGACACCTCTCTACTAAGTTAGGTAGTACACTTTTATTCTACTACTCAAGCAATAGAAACTAGAATATCACGAATACGCATTGAATTAAAAGTCAAAATAATTACTGGCGACAAATCCATTGCTAGATTTAATTTCCTATCTGTACATAGGTTCCTGCTAAAAGCTATCTTCTTGTGACCAGCACCGCCACGAAAGCCAATCGCAATAAACGAAGTCGGGAAATAAACTGAATAACTAGAAATTAGACACACGAAGAGCGATTTCAGTGAAGGGTCCCTTCGAACATCATCCTCTGGTTCCTCCTCCCCTCCTACTGATCGTGTCCTACCGCGATAGGCGGCTGCTCTGCACCGCCCCGCTGTAGAGATTACAACGAGCGTAGAGAATTATAAGCCGCCGAAAATAGTGTATAGCATTGCTTTCCATGGCAAATTCCGCCTCTGTATGGTTTTGTCAAAAATGCCCGCCCGTTCGCGCCTCATCACCAAAACCCTTGTATCCCTTAATGGCTGTCGTAGCCGCTCCCTTGAGCTTTTTTTAAATAGTCGTCATGATTGGAAGAAAAAATGTTTTCACAATAATGGTACAAGAAGACAAGTCGATGCTGAAAAATCAAAGTGCAACTTTTGTAGTCCTCTCTACCTAGGCCTTGAGACCAGATCCATGAATGCGCTGGGGGGAATCGGTCGAATGTGTGAAAGTCATTATGTCATTAGTGGGCGTACGCCGAGATCTCCTTTTTTTCGATCTTCAAAGCGTGTAAAGCTGATCTCAATCCTTCCCGAGGAATTTGGATGATTTACTCAGATCGCTTGCGCTTCTTCTTGCCCTGGCTCTCACTGGGAGATTCGTCTGATGATAAGTCGCTAGCGCTACCGGGGACCTCGGACGCGACTTGGAAAAGTACCTTTCCGTAATTAGAATAGTCCGACTCTCCAGAAGGCATCATTTCGAGTCCTTCTTCGCTACCATCAATGAGATTCATGACGATAGCACCGCTACCGTGAGTTCGCGCGTGCTGAGATAAGTTGTCGCTTCGAGAGAACTTCTTACCGCACTCGTGGCATTCAAAGGGCTTCTCTTGAGTGTGTAGAGAACGGTAGTGGCGCTTCAGGTGTTCTTGTCGGCGGAAGCGGCGGTTGCATAGTTCGCAAACAAAAGTCTTGCTCGGGTCCTCAGTTAATGATTGCTTACGGCCTCGGCGATTTGGCGGGGCTGGAAGAGTATTGGGTGCGCTTGATCCTGATGATGATCCTGCATTGCTGCTAGCTTGCGTGGCATCATTCTGAGCTGACTGCTGTTGTTGCTGCTGCTCGTCGCTCTGAGCAGAGCTGGAATCAGCAGCGACATTCATGACGGGAACTGCTTTGCGCGATTCCTTCTTTGACTTCTTTAACTTCTTGTCCTTGTGCGATTCGCACTCTGACGAGCTAGCAGGACTAGAAAGGCCAGTAACTGATGTGTCCTCTGTATCGAAATCGCTCTCTGCGAAGAAAGACTCGTGACCCAAAGATAGGGTAGTAGAGCAAGTACCAGAACGCGGTCTCTTCAAATCGGCAGATTGCTCACTAATATTAACTAGGCGACTTACAAAGTCGTCCTCAGATTCCAAATCTGAGATATCCTCAAAAGCTGGAAGACCGTGTTGAGGCTCAGTGTTGAAGTTGAAGTTATCAAGGAGTGATTGTTTTTGAAGAACGTCACCCCTGAATTCTTCTAATGCGACAGGGGCTGTGAACTCGGACGATAGAGTGGGGTTCGACACACCGCCAACAGTTAAATTCCGAGGGTCGCAAAAATCAACGTCTTGTTCCGATGCAACAGATCGTGCATATGGTGACGGAGATGGTGATAAAGAAGGGCAGGAAGTAGGCGAAAGATGATCGCTTGAGAAGCTAGAATTGACTGAAGGTGCCTGTGTGGATTGCGATTGTAGATAAACTGTAAGGGCAAGAAAAAAATTAAAGTTAGCAACCAAATGTTCCCTAGGCTTAAAAAGATAGGCAAGATAAGCGGTGAATTTCAATCCAAGCCCCGCCAACCCGCTTCGAAACTCAATTACACTTTTTGCAGTTCGTATTTTTAGAAGTTGGATTTTTAAAACAACTCATTCCGTTGTCCAAATTCAAGTTCAAGCTCAAGTTAAAGCAACTAGATCACCACCCAAAACTTAAAATCCATAAAAAAAAAAACAAGGACCTACCAGGTGTTAATGGAGGTGAGCCACAGTTGGCCCAATCCAGATTCTCTAAGTTCTCCGGCATTGTCTCAACCTCGGGCTTCACCATTTCGCATCCGTCAAGTCCATCTAGCCCAGAGAACATGGGGTTTAGCGGTGTGGCTAGCATGTCGTTCGTGTTGCATGGGCTGCCCATTGAGCTACCTGATGTTGACAGGGGCGGTGTAGCTGGGTAGTAGAAGCCATCGTGATCGCAAAGCTCAGTCTCCAGCGCCAACTTCATAGGTTGGTTTTGCAACATAATAGCTGGTCGATGTATGGCCTGCGGTGATGCCATAGGAGTCATATTACTGGGAACGGCACCGAATACCTTAGCCTGTAGAGGTTGTTGCGAGCAAGACGAATTCGGCCTCGAGTAGATTGGCGTCGATGGCAACGTAGGTACAATAGGGAATACCTGTTGTTGTTGCATCTGTTGAAACCCTGGCTGTTGACTGAAGTGGCCGTGGTGCCGGTTCTCTGGGTTGGGGTCTGGCGTATAGTAGAAGAAGGGCGTTGGTCCCATCTGAGAGCTCATCATAGTTGGATCCATTGTCGTGACTGATTTTACCTCCTGTCAGTCTTTGCGGGTGGTGACCTTTTCTTAATCCTCTAAGGAACTGACCTGTTGCCGCGTCTCGTTTCGTTTATATATTAAGTATACTGGTAGTTGTTATATTGTACAATAGGTACGTTTGTTGGGCGGTTGGCCTAAAGATGGTGGTTTCGGTTCTTGGATGTCTGAATGAATGAACGGTCCCGATGTATATCAAAGACCATCTAGTTGCTTATGACTCAATGTATATGCTGCTGTACATGAACCTGTCCTCGATTTGGAACTCCCGGATATTATCGTCAAGCAGACTTGGCTTGGGAGAGGGTAGGAATATGTGACTTTGTTGTATACTTAAAGAAGGGCAGGAAGTTCGAGGAGTGATCGAACGATTCCAAAAAGTCGAGTCACGGAAGAAACAAGAGAACCGATAGGGTTATGAAGAAATAGAAGACAACCTAAGTCGACTGATATGTCGATCACGGACTAGGTAAGAGAGTAATGAACGTGGTTGAAGCGAACCTTGTAGAGGATAATGTAAAATAGTCGAAGCCCGCCCAGATCATCTACACCAGATAAAAGAGCCCATCGATAGGCACTGGAGGGCCTGCGGGTGGAATGGAAGACCCATAGGGAACCCACTCAACTCAAGGTCACCCATGTATGTCTCACTTGGGGAAGCTGACAAGGGGGGTCTAAAGATGGTCCTGGTCGGCCTGGGTCGTTACCACTGGCCAACCTTGTCTACTGCATGTCTGGGGCAAAAACGGAAACATGAGATGAGTGGGTATGTCGACTGGTACTATGTGGGCGCAGCCACCGAGCGATTCTAAATCTGGACGACACTAGAGGGAGGGCGAGGTACCGCGTATTGATGGGTACATTATGTTATGTCCCTATGTCCCATGTATCCTATGTTATGCTCTTTTTATCGACGGACAGCAGAAACCTTGTCCGACTGGTCGTATACCTGTTCTAGTATTGCATAGCGGCATAGCAGCATAGTGTACATACATAGTGTATACACCTTTAAACTCCGTTGGTTTGTACGCATGCGCAAGCATACGACACCTTGCATATCGCCTAGCACCGTTCAGAGAAACGATACAGACTCCCAGACCCGACCTAGTATCAAGCGTACATACATAGTACATAGTAGAGCTGCATTTCGACAGCTAAACATGGGGTTGTTGTTGTTGGCTCTTCTTTTTGGAGTATCTTCTTTTCGAAGTATTATGTAAATTCTAGGAT